TGCCTTCATTGTCTGCAGTTCACCGGTTAAGGCTGGTGTCACGCCATCAGATCAAAACATCAAACTGGATTGATTAGATTCGATTGTATTTTCAAATCCCAAAGTTTGATGACTCACAACTTCAGATTTATCTTCAGAAAGCACAAGTACATAGCAGCAGTTTATACTTTTCTATAAAGGAGAAGTGTGTAAACGTGTGGCCAAAAGTGGTACTGCAGCCTCTCCCACTCTCCCTGACTCAGGTTGCCAGATATGCAGACGAATCCAGCTGGGACCATAACAGCTGAATAGACAAGAGTTTTGTCAACAACAAATCTAAAGTGAGATAAACTCCACGTGGTGAGTTCTGGCGCCCGGATCAAAGACTTTCTGATTGGTGAAACGGTGGAGGGCGGGACATCGGAATGAAAACAATAACAAGATTTAGAGGCTGGAAAAGTAATTTAGAAATTCAAATATCTCTGAACTATTGTTATCAGTTAAAGAAGTGTTGGAAAAGAGAAGTTTATTATTATGACAGATTAGAGCCCTTTAATGACGACAGATTAGGGCCCTTTAATGAGGACAGATTAGGGCCCTTTAATGATGACAGATTAGGGCCCTTTAATGAGGACAGATTAGGGCCCTTTAATGATGACAGATTAGAGCCCTTTAATGATGACAGATTAGGGCCCTTTAATGAGGACAGATTAGGGCCCTTTAATGATGACAGATTAGAGCCCTTTAATGATGACAGATTAGGGCCCTTTAATGATTACTTGACAATCTCACATATTGCTACTTTAAGATAGATAAAATAGATTTTGTATAAGGTTGTGCTATACTCGTTGCTATACTACTGTTCTGTAACTTGTGATGCAACACTGACATTTCCTCACAGTGGGACCCATAAACGGTCTCTTAATCTTCAGCAAAAGTAAATAAACTATTATTATTATTAAACTCTGCCAGGACTGAATGAGCTCGATGTGTTGAGGGCAAAGTTTGTGTTCATTGCTCTAAGTACAGATGAACAAATTATTTAAATGCCTGTTTGATGTTTTCTGGTGTAATTACAGGAGTTGTGGAACTTCTATTCTTCGTCCTGAATATGTACTGGCTCAGACTGAAGTGCAATCAAATCAAACAAAAGCATGCTCCGAAAACAGAACAGTTAAAACAGGTGCAATAAAGAAGCAGTGAGCTGTAGGAGCTTAGCCGAGTGCGCCATCTAGTGGTGGGAGGACAGTGGCTACAGTACGTCCTGCTGAGGCTTTCAGTTTCACAGTTGTTCAAGAAATCAGGCAAATGAGCTCAGACTCAGACATAACCTGGATCAGCACAGTTTGGATTAATAATAAATCGCTGGCCACAACTTAAAGAATAATAATGAATAATACTGATTAATGAATAAAGGTTAAAGTTGGCAACTGAATAGAACAAGTGATATTTATTTATATAGCGTCTTTCACAGAGTCACAAAGCGGTTTACAGTTGTGGGCATTTGTCTCTGGCTCCAAACAGAGAGGTGCCTGCTCCAGTTGGTATCAGTACTTTGTAGATAACAGAAGAAAAGTATAATTATGTACTAAATCACTATAGATTTTAACAGTATTTTTGCTGTTGGTCATTTGCATAATATCAGGCCTTTATACTTCTGTTTTATTATTATCATTTTCAAGATAGAGAGGGCGACAGTGGTTCAGTGTGTAGAGCATTGGCCTTTGAGCCTGAAGGTAGTGGGTTCGAGTCCACCTCAAGACCTACTTCACCGACTCCCACTGATGTCTCCTGTCGTTGTGTCCTTGGGCAAGACACTTAACCTCTGGGAACAGCAGGTGCCACAGTGTAAAGTGCCAAACTGCTGTTGTGTCCTTAGGCAAGACACTTCACCCCCATTGCCTAGAATGAGTCTGGTGTGTGCGTGAACGGTTGGTGGTGGTGGGAGGGGCCGATGGCACAGACTGGTTGCCTCGCTTCTGTCAGTGTGCCCCAGGGCAGCTGTGGCTACAGTGGTATATGGAGAGAATGTGAAGCATCTTTGAGTGTCCAAAAAGCGCTGTATAAAACCAATGCATTATTATTATACTTGTTATTGATGCTAGAGTTAGAGATGTTGTTTTATTTTTTTGATTAGTTCATTTATCTTGTGCCGTGTGCTCCTCATACTGTTCTGTAACTTGTGATGCAAAACTGACATTTCCCCGCTGTGGGACGAATAAAAGAACTTAATCTTAATATCAAATCAAAAAATACTATCTGACAAATGTTAAATCCAAAACAAGGGACCTCTTATTAAGCGGGCGGTAAAGCAGGGGCCACATGAACGTGTCTGGATGAGCGCCTCCGTCAGACAGAGAGAGAGAGAGAGAGCAGAGAGAGAGCAGAGAGAGCAGCAGAGAGAGAGCAGAGAGAGAGAGCAGCAGAGAGAGAGCAGCAGAGAGAGAGCAGAGAGAGAGAGCAGCAGAGAGAGAGCAGCAGAGAGAGAGCAGAGAGAGCAGCAGAGAGAGAGCAGAGAGAGCAGCAGAGAGAGCAGCAGAGAGAGAGAGCAGCAGAGAGAGAGCAGCAGAGAGAGAGCAGAGAGAGCAGCAGAGAGAGAGCAGAGAGAGCAGCAGAGAGAGAGCAGAGAGAGAGAGCAGCAGAGAGAGAGCAGAGAGAGACCAGAGAGAGACCAGAGAGAGAAGCAGAGAGAGAGAGCAGAGAGAGAGCAGAGAGAGAGAGCGGAGAGAGCAGCAGAGAGAGAGCAGAGAGAGAGAGCGGAGAGAGAGCAGAGAGAGAGAGCGGAGAGAGCAGCAGAGAGAGCAGAGAGAGAGCAGAGAGAGAGCAGAGAGAGAGAGCAGAGAGAGCAGCAGAGAGAGAGAGCAGAGAGAGCAGCAGAGAGAGAGCAGAGAGAGAGAGCGGAGAGAGCAGCAGAGAGAGAGCAGAGAGAGAGCAGAGAGAGCAGCAGAGAGAGAGACCAGAGAGAGACCAGAGAGAGCGAGCAGAGAGAGAGCAGCAGAGAGAGCAGAGAGAGACCAGAGAGAGAGCAGAGAGAGAGAGCAGCAGAGAGAGAGCAGAGAGAGCAGTGGAGAGAGAGCAGAGAGAGAGAGCAGAGAGAGAGCAGAGAGAGACCAGAGAGAGAGCAGAGAGAGACCAGAGAGAGAGACCAGAGAGAGAGACCAGAGAGAGACCAGAGAGAGAACAGAGAGAGAGACCAGAGAGAGAGACCAGAGAGAGAGACCAGAGAGAGACCAGAGAGACCAGAGAGAGAGACCAGAGAGAGACCAGAGAGAGAGACCAGAAAGAGACCAGAGAGAGACCAGAGAGAGACCAGAGAGAGAGACCAGAGAGAGAGAGACCAGAGAGAGACCAGAGAGAGACCAGAGAGAGAGAGCAGAGAGAGAGCACCAGAGAGAGAGAGAAGAGAGCGAGCAGAGAGAGAGAGCAGAGAGAGACCAGAGAGAGACCAGAGAGAGAGACCAGAGAGAGACCAGAGAGAGAGAGCAGAGAGAGACCAGAGAGAGAGACCAGAGAGAGAGACCAGAGAGAGACCAGAGAGAGAGACCAGAGAGAGAGACCAGAGAGAGACCAGAGAGAGAGACCAGAGAGAGACCAGAGAGAGAACAGAGAGAGAGACCAGAGAGAGACCAGAGAGAGAGAGAGAGACAAGAGAGAGACCAGAGAGAGACCAGAGAGAGAGACCAGAGAGAGACCAGAGAGAGAGACCAGAGAGAGAGACCAGAGAGAGACCAGAGAGAGACCAGAGAGAGACCAGAGAGAGACCAGAGAGAGACAAGAGAGAGACCAGAGAGAGAGACCAGAGAGAGAGAGAAGAGAGAGAGACCAGAGAGAGACCAGAGAGAGACCAGAGAGAGACCAGAGAGAGACCAGAGAGAGAGACCAGAGAGAGAGAGAAGAGAGAGAGCAGAGAGAGAGCAGAGAGAGAGCAGAGAGAGACCAGAGAGAGAGACCAGAGAGAGAGCAGAGAGAGAGAGAAGAGAGAGAGCAGAGAGAGAGAGCAGAGAGAGAGCACCAGAGAGAGAGAGAAGAGAGAGACCAGAGAGACAGACCAGAGAGAAAGACCAGAGAGAGACCAGAGAGAAAGACCAGAGAAAGAGACCAGAGAGAGAGAGACCAGAGAGAGAGACCAGAGAGAGACCAGAGAGAGACCAGAGAGAGAACAGAGAGAGAGACCAGAGAGAGACCAGAGAGACCAGAGAGAGAGACCAGAGAGAGACAAGAGAGAGACCAGAGAGACACCAGAGAGAGAGACCAGAAAGAGACCAGAGAGAGAGACCAGAAAGAGACCAGAGAGAGACCAGAGAGAGACCAGAGAGAGAGAGACCAGAGAGAGACCAGAGAGAGACCAGAGAGAGACAAGAGAGAGACCAGAGAGAGACCAGAGAGAGACCAGAGAGAGACCAGCAGAGAGAGAGAGAGAGCAGCGGAGGCTAAACCAGAAAATGAATTACTTTCTTGACACACGTCGCAGCCAATCACAGCAGAGGATCCTTGTCGTTAGTATGCACGGGTCACGCTCCAGCCTCCAAATCTATTCATTTATGTACAACCCCTTGGAGAAATCACAGTGTCTTGTTGTCCTTTTTTCCCCATCTGTCCAGATGGAATTTGTGCGAATAACATTGGTTTAGTGGGGGAGAAAATAAGTACAGGCGACGGAGGCGACGGAGGCGAGCGCGGCGGCGGCGACTGGATCAGGCGCCGTAACCTCCAAAAGCACAGTCACCTTCATGCTCCTCTTCATCACACCTTTTCAAATCACATGGAGCCAATATTTATTTTTACTTTAGATAACAAATTACGGACTTTAAGCGGATTGTTTTAATGGAGAATAGCCAATTACTGTAAATGTCCAAATGACCTTGAATTGATGACATGGCTGAACGTTTCAATCTTTCCGCTGCTCGTACAAGGAAGCAATTACAGCAGCTAGTTGGTGGGGGTGGCACTTGTCAGAATGCCCCAGGGCAGATGTACCGACAATGATGATGCATTGTAATGGACAAGTTCTTAGGCTGGTATCAACTTAAAAACATAGAAAGACCAAAGTGTTTGAAGAGTAGGACACACAGCAGAGTAGGACACACAGTTCCTACCTCTCGCAGGACGGTGCTGCCGTATCCTCTGTACAGGCCTCGGAAACCCTGCAAACAGTGACAGATGTGCATTAGTCCAGGTTTATTGAGTAGTTTTTGAGTGTGCGTTTACATGTCTTAAAGTCGGAACATATGAATAATTCTGATAAAGATAGATTAGAGGCAGATGAACCTCTTGTCGGAGTGTAGCCAGCAGCATGTTGTGGGTGCTGGACCCCGGAGAGGCCTGGGTTCTTTGCTTCACCACCTCGGCCGGGACACGGATCAAACAGGCCACCTACAGGAGACGACACTTTAGTGATTCTACTGAAGAGCAGCTTGTGACCCCCACCTGACCCCCACCTGACCCCCACCTGACCCCCACCTGACCACCACCTGACCCCCACCTGACCCCCACCTGACCACCACCTGACCCCCACCTGACCCCCACCTGACCACCACCTGACCCCCACCTGACCCCCACCTAACCCCCACCTGACCCCCACCTGACCCCCACCTAACCACCACCTGACCCCCACCTGACCCCCACCTGACCCCCACCTGACCCCCACCTGACCCCCACCTGACCCCCACCTGACCCCCACCTAACCACCACCTGACCCCCACCTGACCACCACCTGACCCCCACCTGACCCCCACCTGACCCCCACCTAACCACCACCTGACCCCCACCTGACCCCCACCTGACCCCCACCTGACCCCCACCTGACCACCACCTGACCCCCACCTAACCACCACCTGACCCCCACCTAACCACCACCTGACCCCCACCTAACCACCACCTGACCCCCACCTGACCACCACCTGCCCCCACCTGACCCCCACCTGACCCCCACCTGACCACCACCTGACCCCCACCTGACCCCCACCTGACCCCCACCTGACCCCCACCTGACCCCCACCTGACCCCCACCTAACCACCACCTGATCCCCACCTAACCACCACCTGACCCCCACCTGACCCCCACCTGACCCCCACCTGATCCCCACCTAACCACCACCTGACCCCCACCTGACCCCCACCTGACCCCCACCTGACCCCCACCTGACCCCCACCTAACCACCACCTGATCCCCACCTGACCCCCACCTGACCCCCACCTGACCCCACCTGACCCCCACCTGACCCCCACCTGACCCCCACCTGACCCCCACCTGACCCCCACCTGACCACCACCTGACCCCCACCTGACCACCACCTGACCACCACCTAACCACCACCTAACCACCACCTGACCCCCACCTGACCCCCACCTGACCCCCACCTGACCCCCACCTAACCACCACCTAACCACCACCTAACCCCCACCTGACCCCACCTGACCCCCACCTGACCCCCACCTGACCCCCACCTGATCCCCACCTGACCCCCACCTGACCCCCACCTGACCCCCACCTGACCCCCACCTGACCACCACCTGACCCCCACCTGACCACCACCTGACCCCCACCTGACCCCCACCTAACCACCACCTGACCCCCACCTGACCCCCACCTAACCACCACCTGACCCCCACCTGACCACCACCTGACCACCACCTGACCACCACCTGACCCCCACCTGACCCCCACCTGACCCCCACCTAACCACCACCTGACCACCACCTGACCACCACCTGACCCCCACCTGACCCCCACCTGACCCCCACCTGACCCCCACCTGACCCCCACCTGACCACCACCTGACCCCCACCTGACCCCCCCACCTGACCCCCACCTGACCCCCACCTGACCCCCACCTGACCCCCACCTGACCCCCACCTAACCACCACCTGACCCCCACCTGACCACCACCTGACCCCCACCTGACCCCCACCTGACCCCCACCTGACCCCCACCTAACCACCACCTGACCCCCACCTGACCCCCACCTGACCCCCACCTGACCCCCACCTGACCACCACCTGACCCCCACCTGACCACCACCTGACCCCCACCTAACCACCACCTGACCCCCACCTGACCACCACCTGACCCCCACCTGACCCCCACCTGACCCCCACCTGACCCCCACCTAACCACCACCTGACCCCCACCTGACCACCACCTGACCCCCACCTGACCCCCACCTGACCCCCACCTGACCCCCACCTGACCCCCACCTAACCACCACCTGACCCCCACCTGACCCCCACCTGACCACCAAAGCCCTGGTGTAGTAAACCAGGGGTGTCCAAACATTTTAGTAAGAGCCACTTTAGTTCAGACTAGTCCAGGGACCGACTGGAAAACTGTCTTGACTGACATTGGGCTGTTTTGACCTATAGAATGATCTATGACGGAGTTGAAGTTGGCTGAATGACACATGTTTACCATCTCTCCAGCTACATTAGCAACATTAACGGAAGTTTGTGACACAATCATAAACCAGGGCAGTAAAGTTTATAAAAGTAAAGTAAACGACTGAAATCCAAACGTACTGGGATTTAGAACGAGGTCTGTATTGGCTGAGCTGAAGTTGGATGGATGACACAGTGAGCTTGTGTTTCTGATCTCAGAGACTACTGTGAGTTAGCAAGACAGAGGGCCGCATACAATGACACTGAGGGCCGCATTTGGCCCCCGCACCTGAGTTTGGACACGACTGTAGCAGACGATAAACTCTTCTTTCATGTCCTTCACATTTCAGTCATATTTTTAAATTGTCCCGGAAAACATTTTACAGCATCGGAACAAATGTATTTTACTCTATTTTTATGAACGTCAAATGGAATAAGTAAGTAATCTTTATTTATATACCAATGTTCCCTATTGCCATAATCCCAGAGAGATCAGCTTCACGCCGCAGTTTGTTATAACTTATAATTATAATAAATTAGTCAGCAGAGGCCAAAGCTATGTGTTATGACACCAATTCCAGATAGTAAGAATGTCCGGACTACATATGTTAACATTTCTATTTCCATAGAATCATGCAGAA